TGCAGTGTTCCCATAATATTTACTCACAGGATCTTTTTTGGGGAGTGTGTGCAGCACACCTAACATTTCTGAAAACTGTGTTGTGGAGCACAAGTTTGGGAAGGACTCATCTAATTAAACCTTTTCAGATTGTAGAAACCTCAGGCCTATAAAGGTTACCTGACATGGTAGAACAAAAGCCTCCATCCCCTGACTCAGAATTACATGGCTTTTCTTCCACACTGCACAGCCCTGCAGGTGACAGGACAGGCTTTCCAATTACACAGATTAGAAAGTTGACAGGAACCCAAAGCAGAACTAGAACCATTGTATTCTAAGAGCTGGTGTCCACAATTCTCTCTTTCTAGACCCCAGGTAGAGAGACTCACTTCTTTAGAGTGAAAGCAGGCAATTCTGTTTGACAACATCTTCCATATTCTCAATCATGCTTCCAAAAGACAGAATAAATAGGAAGAATTCAATTCTAAAGGTTTCTGTAGACCAGAGAGAGCACTGTTTCTACCACAATCTGTGGTGTAAAACCAGTGCTGTTTTTTATAGACTTGTTTTTGTACGTTTATTTAATTTCCGAAACATCTTTTGTCATGTTGTTGTTGTTGTGTGTCGTCGAGTCGGTTCCGACCCATAGAGACCCTGTAAAGGTTTTCCGAGGAGCAGCTGGTGAGCTTGAACCGCCAACCATGCAGTTCAAACAGCTTTGCAGTCTGGCACATTAACCCACAGCGCCACACCAGGACTGTTTTGTCATATACAATATAAAATTAGTACAAATTGAAATAAAGACCAAATTGCTTAAAATGCATGTCTGTTATATTTATAATTATTATATTTAATAGGCATAAAACTCCTCTGGCAAATGAGTATATAAACATTTCTGAGTTCTGTCTCAATTTTTGTATTTATCTCATCTGGATCCATAACAGTTTGTGGACGAGCACTTACCCTTCTCTGAATAGCACTGTGTAGGTTCAAGTGGAGATTTAGACTCTCGTTATGTAAATGTCTAGTTGTTGCTGTTGTGAAGTGCCATCGAGCCAGTGCCGACCCATAGCAACCCTGCATAGGGTTTCCGAGAAGCAGCTGGTGAGCTTGAGCCACCGACCTTGCAGTTCAAATGGCTTTACAGTCTGGCGCCACACCAGGACTCCAAATGTCAAGCAGGTAGCATTTAAAGAAAACAGGGAAGACAACTGAAAAAATTTCCCACAGAAAGATGTAAATCAGAAACATAATATGGTTTGAATCATCGCATTAAACACCGAAGTGATGTGTTTTATTGTGTTGCATAGGTCAATTACAACTCAGCAACCTATAGGACAGAACTGCCCCATAGACTATTGAAGGCTGCATTATTTTTAAATTTTCTCTTGTAGAGTGGCTGGAGGTTTCAAATCCTTGACCTTCCAATTAGCAGTTGAGAGCTTAACCACTGCACCAACAGTGTACTTGGCTAGAAACAGAAAACCTGTTACACTGAGTCCCTTCTTACTCATAGTGACACTGCTCTAGATGTCTCTGAAATCAGGGGATAAACAGAATGCAGCATAACAATCTTTTTGTCCTTTCAGGGCAATGACCAACTCTGGAATTCTGCAGAATATTCACAGACACTCACAAACACACCACACATACTCCATGTAAGGTTTTCATATTAAATCAAGTTGTACCTGAACACTCTGGTCCTGACTAAGGAACCATGGGACTTTTTAGGCCTGACCCTAGAGAACTACAAGTCTTTACCTGGCAGGCCTCAGGGGGAAAATACCTCCCCTCTACGGCCAATGCACTGCACTCTCTGAAATCAGTTTCAGTCAGGGCTCAGCTATGTCTCACCCCCTCATTGGTCATGCTTTTGCTTGTGTTCTTTGCTAGCCCAAGTGTCACCTGGTGTATGGTGGTCTGATTATGGGAGGCCTTCAGCAGAGACATTCCTTAAGTATCTGTGGGACAATAATGCAAAATTCTACACTCCTTTCATTGGAATCCAGAATGAGAGAAGAAAGAAAGTGGGTCTGTGAGAAAACTGGAAGAAATAATGGTTGAAACTTTTGTATATGTGGCATAAAATCAATCTGCAAATGAAAAAAGTTGTCCAAACTCCAAAAAGGATAAACAGAGAGCAATTCACGAGTCATTGAAAGTTGCCCCAAGAAACATCTCCACTGAAGGAAGTTAGAGATACACTGATGGTTCCAAACACCATGAATGAGGTTCCTTATCCCTCATTCCTTTTCCCTCCTGTAGGAGGAGTCTCACTGAATTCCACTCATGGGTTAGATCTAGCCACGCCCCTTTGACCTGGAGGCGGGGCCAGATCAGGGGCGTTATCTTTATCAGTTGGCGCCCAGGAAAATCCTGAGAGAATCTCAACCAATCCATCGTTGATCTCCACTTGAGCTCTAGGTGGGCAAGTACTTGCTGGAGAGCGGTGGGCACTGGGCTGGTGAGTCTGGCTGGCTGGGGTCTTAGGGCATGGCCGGCCTTGGGCTGGGTGCAGGTTGTCCCGAATCCTTAGGAAGTACCATCTCACTGCCTTTCTTGGGTGGTTGGCCCAGCAGGGGGCGGCTGAGCCTTTCCCGGGAATCCCTTCAGAGCGGCTGGCTGGGGCCCACTGAGGTGGCGGCAGGAGGCCTCTGGAGGCACGTGGGGCGCGCGGCAGCCTCAGGGGTCCAATTTTAAACCAGATTTTCAGCTTTTCCAGTCCTCAAGTCATCCAGTCTGCACACACTGCATTCTTCTTCCATCCTGAGGGTTTGAGGAAGAATCCACTTGTCCCGCGTGAAGGGGACTTTCTATGTGGAGGGGCCGATGGATGGAGCCAGGGAATAATTCAGTAGTCTCTGGTAGCGCAGTGGTTGCGAATCGGGCTGCGGGTTCCGCGGGAGAAAGATGAGGCGGTCTGCTCCTGTAAAGATTTACAGCCTCGGAAACCTTGTGTAGGGTCGCTATGAGTCGGAACCGACTCCACGGCACATAACAACAACAACAGGCTTGGATCAGACAGGGGAAAGTGGTCCCACTATGAGACCAAAAGGGCCATTGGGGGTGTCCATAGTCCAGGTCGGCACCGTTCCCGGATGCCCATAAGTGAAGGTGAGATGCCTAGGTTTAGCAACGTGGCAGTTTCAGAGGAACAATCAATATTCTAGCTCTGGTGTGGTGCTGTAGGATAAAACCTGCACGGAACCAGCAAGTTCGGCAGTTCAAATCCACCAGCCATTCCTTGGAAACTCTACACAGGGTAGCTATGAGTGGGAACCAACTGAACAGCACACAACATGCCAGGCTGGCTGTTCATGGCTTCCAAACAGCAGGAGAGCAAATTTATTGAAGTAGAAGGTCATATTGTTCTCGTGTTACAGCCCACTGCGATGCTAAATCACTTGCCCAGGGCCACAAGGTTAACCAGTAACTCAAACGTGGATTTTAGTCTATTTCCAAAGATTAAGGTTGCTTTGGGAGCATTTTGAGATTTTAAGAATCCCTGGTGCAGTGGTGGTTAAGTGTTCAGCTGCTAAGGGAAAGCTGAAGAAAGGTGTGGCTCTCTGCTCCCATAAAGATCTGCAGTCTCCAAAGCTCTTTATAGGGCAGCTATGAGTCCGACACTTAAAAACAACAAAACCAATGAAACAGAATGGACTTGAAAGTGGAGTTTGGGGCTTGGTAGCACAGTGGTTAAGCGTTCGTCTGCTGGAAAGGTTGGCTAGTCAAAGACATCAGTCGCTCCTGGGAGAAAGATGTGACATTCTGCTCCCATGAGTATGTGCAGCTTTGGAAGCACAATGGAGCAATTTTACTCCATCCTAAAGGGTCACTGTGAATTGGAATAGACTGAAGGGCAGAAAGGTTTATTTTGGTTTTATTGTATGTATGCACTTATGGAGCCTTAGTGATGCACTGGTTAAGTCCTCAGCGGCTAACCAAAAGATTAAAAGTTCAAACCCACTAGCTGCTCTGCCTCAAGAAAAAGATGTGGCAATCTGCTTCTGTAAAAAAAAAAAAAATTAAAGCCTTGGAAATTCTATAAGGCAATAATACTACTGTGTTCCATGGAGTCGTATGAGATTGGATCCACTTGACCGAGTGGATGTTGATTTTGGATGATAAGGTGTGGGCAGTCTAGAGTGCCTTCCCACCCCTTGCTCCCCCTTGCCCTGTTTCCTACTCCAGCAAAGGGGAAAGATGCAAAGAATGCCATGGTAAATGCAGGTCTTTAGACCTGTTGAGATGGGTGTGACCACCTCTGAGTACTCAGAGATTCTCCAAAGAACATTCTGATGAAAGCTAGTCTGCATGGAGACATTAGAGGAGCAATACATACCTGCAAACGAGAAGAATTGGGGTTTGATGACTTGGTCCTCTTGCAAAGCATGGCTCCAGCTAAAGGAAAGCCTTGTATTGAAGGGTATTTAATGTTCGATGGATTGTTCGGTTATTCAAGCATATTGCTAATATTCCTTCTCCTTTTCTTTCGGGGCCCATGTATATTCATAAATACACAAGAGTTCAAATGAAATGGGAGAGGTGTGGTAGTAATCTATAGGAGGTTCTAGAAGGGCAGGTGTTCGTCACCAGGGATTCTCCAGTAGAACTTTCCACTGGTGAGCGCTTGAGACAGGGCTAGTGTGACTGAGGAACTTGTTTTCTAAGTAGAAGCAATTTAAAGTTAATTCACCACCTGGGTCTTGTCCCCACCAGGACAGCCCTGTTCTAGAAGATCCATGAGTGTCCTGGAGATTTTGCAAACTTTAAAAAATTGTATGAATGTTTGTAGACTTGGATATGGATATAGCTTTCTCTCAGAAGTAAGTCCATGCCTTTCATCAGATTCTTAAAACCACCAAAAATATTAAGAACTTTTGCTTTAGGGCTTTGGTAAAAAGAAAGGAAAGCGTGCCTTCTTATAACCACTGCTGTTACTGCTTTTTTGTGTTTCCTATCCTAGGCTGTAGGTGGCTTCCTCAACTGTTAGATACGTTCTCAACAGCGGGAAGAGAGCAATGGCTGTGGCCCTGGGCTGTGCAATCCAGGCCTCCTTGAATCACGGCTCTATGACTAAAGAGTACGATACTGACTCTGAAGTCTTCCGTCAGCGCTTCAGGCAGTTCCAGTATCGACAGGCAACTGGACCTCGTGAAGCTTTCGACTACCTCTGGAAGCTTTGCTACCAGTGGTTGAAGCCGACCATGCACTCTAAAGAAGAAATCTTGGAGCAACTAGTGTTTGAGCAATTCCTGAACATTCTGCCTCCGGAGATACAGACCTGGGTGAGACTCTACCACCCAGAGAATAGAGAAAGAGTTATGGTGCTGGTAGAAGAATTACAGCGAGAACTAGTGATACCAGAGCAGCAGGTGAGAAAACAAGGTGGGGTCTCTGTCATTAGACAAAAAGAAATAGCAGAGGCATCTGGGATTAACTGATATGTTTGATCTTTGTGTTGTTTTTCAGGCTCAAGTCCTTTTCGCTTTTTTCTTTGCAGGATTCAGCATATGAGTCAGTTGGTGTTAAGGCTTAGACACAAACCCAATCTATAATAATTATTTGGTAATAGCCTTTAACTATCCTGAAGTAAAATTAATACTAAAGGTAACCTCTATGCATACATCCTCACAGCTAGACCAATTTATAACATCATGTTAAATTGAGACGAGATTGAATTTGCAAGATTTCCTTTTACTTAGATCCACAATCAACACTCATGGAAGTAGTAGTCAAGAAAGTAAAGATGTTACTTTGAGGACTACAGTGAGCCTGACCCAAGCTATAGTATTTTCAATTTTCTCATATGTATGAGGAAGACCTGAGATCGATGCATTTGAATCATGGTGTTGGCAAAGAGTATTGAAAGTATCGTGGAGTGCCAGAAGAATAAACAAATCTGTTTTGGGAGAAGTAAGGCCAAATTACTCCTTAGAAGCCAGGATGTTGAGACTTAGACTCTCATATTTTGCACATGTTGTCAGGAAGGACCAGTCCCTGGGGAAGGATATCATGTTTGGTAAAAGAGGAAGACCCCCAACGAGATGGATTAACATAGTTGCAGCAATAACAGGTTCAAACATAACAATTGTGAGGATAGTGCAGAACCAAGCAGTATTTTGATCTGTTATACATCAGTCAGTCAGAACCTACTTGTCAGAACCCACTTGATGGCACCCACCACCAACAGCAATGCATGTGCTAAATAAAAGGCACCCATATAAGATTCTATGGCCTTGGGACCTAATCTAGCCCATGGCATCTTTTTACAAAGACATGAGCTAGTAACAGTTCGCAATTTTTCAAGGGGCTATTTGAGACTTAGGTAGTTAGCTATCTAGAAATATGTATATATTGATAGATCTCAGAACAGACCCATATGAGGTCCACAAGTACAGTTAAGATCAAAGTGGACATACTGTGAAATACACTTTGTTGTTGGTAATTGCTGACAAGTCTCTTTTTTTTTTATGTTTTATTGTGAATTTTGTGATAGTTTACATGGGAGAACATTGGTTTTACATCGTATCATTGCCATGGTTACAATCCCCTCCATGCAATCCTTCCCCTGTGCCCACCAGGTCTTCAGCACACAGTTGCTCTCCCTCTCTGGATCTAAAGTCTCCAGCTGCTCCATCGCTCCACATCATCATCTCTGGCTCCATTTCAGGCATCACTGCTTCTCTGGGTAGGGTCCCGCTCTCTGCTCTTCTCCCTTGATGGTCCTAGGGACCTC